TTTTTTTTCTCTGAGTTAAGAATACTGAAACGTAACCGATATCTTATCAAGTCTAATCGTTATATATTGTCCAAATGTTAAAAATTTAATTTAGTCAACAAGAAGTTAAGATGACTAACGTCAGTAAAGCTTTATTTAATAATAAAAATAAAAAAAATAATAAAATGAAAAAGTTGAGTTACTTCTACAGTCAAAATTATAGTTAAGTATATGTTTTAATATTAATTAGAAAATTAACTAAAGAGTTAAGTTTAAAATTTATATCAAAATTTACTTTTTAACTGTGTATTTGAATTCAACAAATTAAATAACTAATGCAGTAATGCCCCACTTTTTTATCAATGTTTGTATAAAAATTAGTAGGTGCCTCGATTGTATACCTATCTATATAATATAGTTATGGCAGTTTTAGTTGTTTAGAATTTATTCAATATTTTTTGCTTGGTCGATATATTATATTCATCACATTGTACTAACACTGAATCGTTTACTTTTCAACGAATTTGTACATTGAACATTGGTTTTTATTACGATAGTTAAACTATATCAAAAAGAATTTTGTTGCAATACAATTTATTGATTATATTATAATAATTATATGTAATTATTGATAATATCGAATAAATCTACAACTTTAAATAGGAATTGTATAGCAACAATTAACAATCCATTAAAATACGCATGTGATTGGAAAAAACATTATTTATGAAAATATAAATACCTAATTAGTAGTTACTCACCTTAATATTGAGAGGTCACCTACACTTTTTGCCTATGTAATATTTTACACACGAAAAACTAAAGGTAATACACGTCTTGTTGTAATGATTATAATTTACATTTTTCAGAACATAATGAGTATACAAGACTTCTTTCGAGGGCATAATGTCCTGGTAACCGGCGCGACCGGATTTATGGGCAAAGTTTTAATCGAAAAACTAGTTCGGTCCTGTCCAGATATCGGTAAAATCTTTCTTTTGATGAGACATAAAAAAGGAAAAGACACGGCTTCTAGAATCAATGAAATTTTGGACGTTCCAGTATGTTTTAATATTCATAATTTTTAAATGTATATTTTTACACATTATTTGGTGTATAGAATTGACGATTATTATATGACATTATTTTATTACACAAGAGGACTTTAATGTATTAATTACTAGTGTAAATATCACGAATTACACTGCAGAGTACAAGTATTGCAATTTGTTTTATGTAATATAAATTTTATCATAATATTATCATTTCATACATAGGTACTACTTGAAAAAATCTTAATTCAAAAACTACTGTGACATTAAATACGAAAATAAGCTAATAAAATAAATCTATCACGTCTAATGCGATTTTCTYAGTTATAAGCTAGCGATAATAAAACGAAAGTTAAATAAATTATTGTATAACAATATTGTGAGCATACTAATACAAAAACATTAATTTATAAAGGTACTATCGTTTAATGCGAAAAATATATAAAGAATAATTGCATTATGCCTTATAAACTATTGTTGTGGTACATCCTATTGTTAAATAATTATTTTAATTTATTTAATAAATAATATACAAAATATTATGTTAATAATCGTTACTCTACAATCTTTTTATTTATTTTAATTATTAAAAAAAAGTACCTAGCTGCTCATTGATGCAACATAAATATGCATTTTGGTTTTGAAAATCAATAAATGCATTCTTATATATGTTTTTACTCCTTTGGGTTCAATTGGTCACGATGACGTGTAAGTACCTACCTAATATTAAGTAGAACGATAACGATATTGTTACCATGTAATTATCGTGACGAGGATGATAATCTACATTAGGTATCGAATAATTTAGTGATCCAACTGTGTAAATGATCTTTATTTTGTTCGCAGTTATTCGACACGATCAAAGAACAAAAGCCTGGTCTCATGGAGGAAAAGTTGAAGGCCGTGTTGGGTGACATGACCGAACTGCGATTAGGATTGTCGGACGAAGATTATGATTTTTTGGCGGAAAACGTTTCGATCGTCTTCCACGTAGCTGCCAGTGTCCGTTTTGATGAGCCAATACGTGATGCGACGATCATGAACGTGAGGGGAACACGCGAAGTTGTGCAGTTAGCCAAGAAAATGAAAAATTTAAAGGTAAGTCTGTGTGGCGTATTTACCTGCTTAAAGATATACATTAATTTTCAGTCATTGCAATATATGTGGGATAATCTGTTTTAAAAAAATCAGTCAACTGATAGGTACCTATACCAAAAAAAAAAAATTAGGGGGAGGGGCTATATGAGTTATGTGTGATTATATTGCGGTCACTAGAATGAGGTTTGCTTTCTTTCTTAAACTTTTTTTAAATTTACATTTCTACTTTTCTAGAATTTAATATTATGTTGAGTTTTGAGTACCATATTATATTCTATAAGTTATAGACCTCCCACCCCCATATATGTTCAGTACGCTATGCGTCTATGAACACAGAATTAGATACATTGTTTAGTGTGGCGTAATTATAGGGGAGGGAAGATTTGGTCATCGTATCTTCCCCCGAGACTTTTTTTTTGGCACACCACATTCATACACTTATTAAACACTACTATTATATCTATATATCAATAAGTATAAAAATGGATCCATATTTCCCTTGGTCATCGCATCACGCGTGAACGGCTGGACCGATTTCGCTAATTCTTTTTTTGTTGTGTTCGTAATTGTTAAGAGAAACATCTTATGAAAGAACAAATTGTGAAAGTTACGAGGTTAGAGAAATGTGACGTGATGGAGATGAAATTACAGCGGCACCATCTGCCATGTACAAAAAAAATAAATAATAATATGGCACCATCTTTCCAGCAAAAAGTAAACTGAATAAATAWATAAATAAATAATTTATTTAAAAAAAATTTTAGTATCAGAATACCAACAAAACTGTTTATTTACGTGCCAGAAAATAA